CCGAGCAACCGCCTCCTTGAGGCTGCGAGGAGGAGCAAGAGGACGAGGACGAGGAGGAGGAGGAGGAGGAGGAGCAGGAGCAGGTGGATCAGCTGTGTAGCGATTGGAACAGCTACTCAGCGATTGGCTGAAGGCTTGGTAGCCGCCAGATGGCAGCGCATGAAATGTTGCGCGTGTATGCGCAGCATTTGTCTACTGCGTGCAAGACACCTTGGCATAATGTATGTACGCCACCACTATGGTGCACATGTTGCTGATCGGTCCGCTTGATGAGCTCGTGCTGCACTTGCCTAACCTACGCCTTTACAACGTCATCGATGATACCACCAAGGCTGTAGCTGGGGAGAGGAGCAACAAGTTGTCCAGCGAGTAGGTCCAGCAACATCGTTTCGCTGCATACGTTTGGAGAACACAATCCTGGAGATAACGGCTTCTAAAGGATTATGTGCGGGTAGTACGCGCGGGATCCGACAGGTCTTGCAGATGAGATTCAGGGGATGGAAGTTTGTGACTCAGGCGGGAATCTGGATCCGGGCTGGACCACAACCTCGCGGCGAAGAGGCCATGTGTTTGGAGAAGTGTTGCCACGCGCGTGCGTTGCGTCCCAGACTCAAGCGTCTGCGAGGTCTGCGCCACACCCTCAAGGGCATGATGAGGGAGGCCAGAGTCGGAGCCCTGGCTGCAGCAGCACGGAGTGCGAGTGGGGGGTATGGCGACGTCGCGTCTTTGAGATCTCAAGAAACGCCGGGAAAAGCTATCCCTGGGGCACCAGAGGTCGATATCCCACCCTCAGTCCCCCTTCGGCCCGAGCCCCCTCTCCAACCCAGTCTGCAGTGCCAGCGGTTTGCCTCCTGCTTGCCCGGTTTGCGAGGGCTGCGCCTCGGGTGGGCGCGGCGCGATGCCATGGGTAGCACGGGTAGGGGGCCACATGCGTACCCTGCCCCCCCCCCCATCCCCCCACGACTTCTGAGGGGGGGCAGGGGGGGCAAGGCCCGCATGTGGCCCTCTAGTGGAGCGGGTGCTTCGAGGCCGTTCGGGGGCGCTGCAGCTTCGGGGGGGCGGGCGTCCGAGGGCGGACGGGCGCCGTGCCGCCCGCCGCCCTTGCGGATAGGGCGCGCCCCCGGGAGTTTCCACACGGGGGCGGCCAAGAGGGGGGTGATGACTGGGGGTTGGGTCGAGCTTGTCCCTTCTACAGGGGGAATAGTCAGACATAGTCAAAGCAATAGCCTGGGAACGATTTGTTTGTGCATCATTATTGGATCTCTTTTGGGTCAGTTGTGGGTGTTTCTTATTTGTCGTGCAAAATACGCCTGTAGGGGGGCACGCCCGACCTAAGACTGGGGGGGGTGGAGATCATGGCGGGGGCCATGACCTCCCCCCAGATGTCATGGCCCCTCTTCTTATTTCAACACGTGCCCTGGGCCCCCTCCCTGGTCCGCGCACATGCCTCGGCCCATGGTTTGCACACACCCCTCTTGGACACCCCCCTCTTGGACGCCCCCGATGTATTATATTTGCCACTATGCGTTGCATGGAGGTGGACCTTGGGCATCTGGGCCACCCTTCCATCAAGATAGTTCTGGAGAAAGAAATCAAGGTCACTTTGATCAAGAGCGTTGCCGATTCCGAGAAGGTCCTCGGGATCGCAGCGGGCCCCGTGCTGGAGCCCAACGTCGAGGTCATCGGACAGCCGGGCGGTTGCTTTGGGGCTCTCTGCAGTGGTAGCTGCAGGCCCCCCCCCACGCAGTCGCATCAGATCTTTGCCAACGGAGCGGGGCGATGTGCGACAGGCCATCGGTTTCACCGCTGTCCCGTGCATCAGCCACTTCGCCAGCACATTTGCCTCGCCAGCTTTTCGTGAGAGAGCCAGAGTGACCTCCTAGCCACGAGGGCGCTCGTGCCCAGCAAGGAGTGGGCGTGGTCAAAGCCCCTGGAGGACCCTGGTTGGAAGTGGGATGTTAAGCCACCAGGGGGATGTATCGGGGGCCAGGTTTGCATCGACTGGTCTGGCCTGGATCCCACCCTCCTCCAGATCTCCAGGGCGGGCTGGGCGGCGGTCTCAGTTTCCCTCGGCGCGCTGACTTACAGTTCGAGTGGGGTCGTTGTCAACGGTGCTGGCAATGGGCTCCTCTCCCATCCTATCCAGACCAGTGGGTACAGGGTGGCGAGCTGACCGATTGCGCGGACTGCAAGGCGGTCGCCGACGCGTGCAAGCAAGGGCCCCAGCAGGACATTGAGAAGTTAGCCAACTCGCTGCTCCAGGTTGACCTTCTGGGCTGGTATCACCTACGGTTTGGACTTCCTTCGGCCAGTCAAGATCAGTGTTCACCTCCCTCGCTCGGGCCCGTCGGGAGGGGAATGTGCCCTGGGCATGGCATGGGAATCAGCGAATCAGCGCGCTGATGAATAGCAAAGGAGGGGCTTCCGGGCATCCCGGCTACCGTCGGCAGGTGCGACAGAGTGCACGGTTGATCGCCGAGGTAGTGGACCTTTTCAGGCGTCCTAATTTGCCGGACGTTGCTTGTGTTAGGCCCCCGCCCCGCCAGAATAACGTGCCCGTCCTCGAGCTAATGCCTGATCCCGCGGGGCACGCCACCGAGAGATCCGGCACGGCTTGCTAATCTCCGTGGCGTGGCGGGAGATGTTCATCTCGAGCTGGAATCACCCCGTTCCCCTCCGGAGGCCTCGCGTCGCCCGACAGGCCCACCGTTCCCACCGAACGTGGCTGGGCGGGGGCCAAGTTGGGTGGCTTTCCGACTGCGGGGAGGGGAATGTGCGTTCCGAGTTCTTGTCTGGGAGATTCCCCAGAAGACCTCCAGACAGGTCTTGCGTCCGCAGCCTTCTTCTGTCCTACCAGGGGGTCGACCCAGATCTCAAAATCGAGTCTGGCAGCTCTGTACACCTGGGTTGTGAGTTTGGACAAGGCTGGCGATCCCGACCAGCCCCTGGCAACAGAGCCTGACCATGTCCTCCTGTCAGCCAGCTCTCATGCTGCTCAGCGTGGTGCGTCGTGAAGGAGCTGGAAAGGCGGTTGTCTGCACGGCTGCTAAGCTACCAACATGAGGGTGGTTGATTGGTAATTATGCCTTTCCTGATGTTGCGCCTCCGTCCAGCTCGACCTTGCGCCCGGTCTGTACGCCCAGGGCCGTTTTTTTGTTTGTGCAGTTATGTCACGTGCTTGCACGGTGAGATCTTCCGCAATGGAGCAATCAAGGAGGAGGAGGAAGAGGAGGACGAGGACGAGGAGGAGGCGGAGGCGGAGGAGGAGGAGGAGGACGGGGAGGAGAAGAAGGAGGAGGAGGAGGAGGAGGAAGAGGAGGAAACGGAGGACGGGGAGGATGGAAAGGATGAGGAGTAGGAGGAGGACGACGACGACCCCCCTCAGAAAATGTCTTGCGGGGTGGACTCTCCCCGCAGGCCACGGGGGCGATGGGGTTGGACCATATGTCGGACATGGACGACAAGAGCGACACGGGCGGTGGCGGGAGGCCCCCATTGGTAGCAGAAAACCCCCGCGTGCACAGCCCCGGCGCAGTCCCAGGGGAGGAAAGTTGGGACACAAGATTTTGTAAGGCTCCGGGCTGTGCACATGCAGCCTCTGAGGTAGTCCCACCTGGCTTCAACAGGTCCGCCCCCCCGAGTAGTCCCACCTGGGTGTGTGGAGACCGCCTCGGAGGCCAGCCGGGACACTTCGGAGGGCCTGTTGAGGCCAGCTGGAATTACTGATGTCCGCGCGCAGCCCGAAGCGTTACCGAGAAGGTTGTCGGCCGTATTCAACCTCGGGGGGGCCCTTACATTGGGCCCCAGGCTGTGCAAACACTCACGGCACGTGATGAGAAACTGGGCCGGGGGAAGGGGTCCAGGCCTTCTGGGGCCTACGCTCTGAAAAAATGACTGACGACGTCGGGGTCTGGGACCTCGCGGAGGGGAGAAGCGTGGGGACGGTGGAGGGGCGGGGTGGACGGAGCCGGGGAAAGGGTCAGAGCACACGCCACGGCCCCGATGCAGTCGCTGGGTGGGGGAGAACAGTTCCTCCATTTCCTTCGTATCATGAATATCTCGTCCCTGTCGCATCCCGAGGCCAGACGGAACGGCGGGCCAGGCGTTTCGCTTGAGGCTCCCCTTCAATGTATGAGCATGGAGCTCGAAAACTGACACCAGTTTCTCAGATGGAAGGCAGGCCGCTTCCAAAATGTTGCTTTCGCTTGAGCGCCGCGCACATTCGACTTAATCACGTGCGATCGCGGATTGAGGGCGGGTGGTTTTTAACATGTAGTTCTCGCCTCAGCGCCGCTCACATTCGTCTCAACATATTGCAAGTTGTTCATGGGTTCTTATGGCTCACGTACCGGAAACGGCGTCATGTAACGATTCAGGGTTGTCAGGGCAGAATCGTTGTTTCGCTGTGTTGAAGGTCCAGGAATGGTGCTCTGGCACAATTCAGGATCGCCAAGACGCACTGTCAGGTTGATTCGTGGCGTTGCAGTCCTGTCGAGACTGTTTCGGCACGCGTCAGGGCTTTCACACGGTTGTCCCCCAACGGGTCAGTGTTTTCAGTGGAAATGATTTTTGTAGGGGCATGAAGGGGGAGGTTGGATGGAGGGTGGATTCCATCATCGTTGATGAGTATTGGGTTTACGTTGGTCCTTCTCCTCTTCCTCCTCCTCCTCCTGCTTCTCTTCCTCTTCCCTTGCTTTCTCTTCCTCCCTCTTCCTTTTCTTGTTGTTTTGCTCGGTTGGGAGGTCGTTTGACTGCACCGAAGACGGGGTGGGATACGGCCGCCATTCTTTCCTCCTCTCTCGGCCTCCTCGCTCTGATCCTCCCTCTTCCACCCATCCTCGCCCTCCTCCTGCGATCCTTTCCTCCCATCCCTGCTCCTTCTCCTCCTCCTCCTCCTCCTCCTCCTCCTCCTCCTCCTCCTCCTCTCATCACTCGTCGTCCCATGGGGTCGGATCTCATGACGGCTTTTGCTGCCCAGAAGGTTCGGCGCGGGGACCTCCATGAATGGCGACGGCGACGAGGATGACGAGGAGGAACATCTCCTGACGGGCGAGGAGCGCCTCAAACGGGCCATCTCGGCGCCGATGTTGTCGCAGCTGCTGCAGAACACCGAGAGGCAGGTGAACGATGACATCAAGACCTCGGGCGTCGACGTCCGCGTCCTCGTGCGCGTCATCTACGAGGACGAGTTCATGCAGAGGACGTGCAGATTCATCCCTGTGACCCTCCTGTTTATGTTCTTGTTCATGATATTCTTCCAGCTGCACTACCTGACAACGTACACCTTTCTCCAGGAACCGGGGGGCCGCATAACACCCATTTTTAGAGCTATCTCAGAACCCCTTGGGAATGAGTCCGCTGAGGCTTCGCTGAGAGCCGATGGGCTATGGGGTCCCTCAGGCACGAAGTGCGTGAGGGGTGCGCCAAAGTTGTTCTCTCCAGTTGTTTTGATCGCCAGGTGAAGGTCTTTCGCAGGAGGCACGGTCACAAAGTGCGTGAGAGGGGTCAGGGGCCAACGGAGCGCCCGTCGGGTCCATGAGACACGACTCGCGCGAAGGTTGCGCCGCCATGGGAGTGCTAATCCATTGTTATCTTGCGCGTCCCACCAGCCTGGGAGTGCGAGGTGCGCGGGTCCTGGAGAATCGCCGGGCGGAGTGCGCGAGACCCCTCCTGGCATGCCTGTTGCGAGGGGCACAGGCGAGGTCTCCCTCTTGCGAGCGTGCGGCCGCCCGCTTCGCTCTCTGGGAAGGTCGAGCGAGGCAAAGTCGAACTCTTCGTTGCTGGTCATCGATCCCCCAGCCGGGACCCCCACTCCGGACGCGACGATCCAGGGGGTCCTGGCTGGGGGTGAGGGTGGTTTTTGCCCCAATGCCCCTCCCCCAGCCAGACCCCTGGATCACCACATTTGGAGTGGGCGTCCTGGCTGAGGGTGGGGGTGGGTTGAGCTGTCCGCACGCCTGGAGAATCGAACTCCTACTCGTCGTCAACCTCCTCCAAGCGTGCATGCTGCACTTCTTTAAAACCAGTGTAGAGGAGCCCAGCGGAGCCCAGCAGAGCCCAGCGCCCAGCGGAGCCCAAGGGGGCGCGCAGCCAGCCGATCCCGGAGGACGGCGCGCCAAGCCGCTTCGTTGCCGCCTGCGCGCGCTGCCGGCAGCAGCAGCAGCAGCAGCAGCAGCAGCAGCAGCAGCAGCAGCAGCAGCAGCATTCCCGCCCGCGGCGGCCACACGCCACACGGGCGGCTGGCCAGTTGCGGCCAGGCTGGCGCCCAGCACCCGCAGCGCGCACGCAGGCGACCCAGGCTGGGCCCTGGGACGCCGCGTGCGCCAGCCAGGCGAGGCCCGCGAAGAGGTCACGTGCCGCCGCGGCTGCCCCCGAACGCGGTGCCACCGCGGGCGCTGGGGCGGCGGCCTGCCCGCGTTGCGGCGGCGGCGCTGCGGCTGCGGCCACTGCGGCTGCGTCCCCCGCGCGGGGCGCGCGCCTCCGGCGGTGCCCTTGTCGCGGTCCAGCGGCGCCGCACCTTGGGCCCGCCTGGGCCCTGGTCGTGGTTCGCTTTCAGAGCGGCCAGATCCGCCGCCGCCGCCGCCGCGTGCTGGAGCGCTTCGAGCGCGTCCAGCTCCTGCGCCCGCCGCTGGCGCAAGTCGAGAGGCGGGAGTTGGATTCACGCCCCTGCGTCGGCGAGCCTGTCCGCGGCTGCGTTGCTTGTCCAGTCCGCCTCGGCGATGCCGCCAGCGTGCATGCTGCACGCAATCTCAATCTCCGTCTTCACCTCCGAACTTTGCAAAACGCCTCTGATGCCAGAGTGGCTGGGCTCTGGCCGCCCCTGCCTGCCCGCTGCGGCCGCCCCCGACGGCTGCTCGACCAGTGCTGATCGGCCGCCAGACTGCGGGCCAGACTGCCGGATGTTGGTCTGTATCGTTTAACCACGTCCATCTCGGGGGGTAGATCGGCCAGTGGGGCCACGCCAGTGGGGATGGGGATCGGTCAAAGGCAGGAGGGGGGGGTTCAATCTGGCACAGTACACTGACCGCGCACTTTGCGCCCCATGAGCCTCCAAAGGCACTCATCAGGCTCCCTGGGCCGCCCGACCTCCCAAGGGGCGCCAGGAGGGCCCAGGCCGACTCTCGTCAAAGCGGTGCCTCCGAACAGTCACAGACTGCGCAGTCTGCGTGCTGGTTCCCGCCTGGTGACACGCCGGGGCTCCCGCTCTGCGGGCTCGATGCGACGGGCCCCTCCCCCCCGGGGTAGCCGTGCTGCGCAGCCGCCAGACTGCGCGCCAGATTCTCAGATGCAAGCTTGCTAGCGTGGGTGGGTGGGTGGGGTGTAGTAGGAGGGGGGACCACTCCGTGCACTCTGCTGGGTATCGGCCTAAACGCTCCTGGGACCCGTCCAAGTACGATGTATCTGCGCCCTCAAGGCCGCGAACTGTGGTAACAAGCGCGCTGGGTCCGTGCTCTGATGGCCACGAGCCCTTGGAAAGTAAAATCAGTTGATGTGGCCCCCAGGGCCGAAGACTGGTCCAAGACGGCTCCGAGAGTCTGGCTCACGGCCCCCTGACCTTCCAAAGCAGCCGCAGACCCCCGATGGGGCAACAAGATGGCCCACGAGACCCGAAGAGGGCCAGACTTGGCTCTTGGATGGCCCCAAGAAGCCCCACGATGCCCCCAATATGGTTCCAATATTGTTCCAAGATGGCTCCCCAGAGGGTCCCGGGGACCACCGAGAGACCCCCACGACGCCACAAGAGATGCACGATGGCTCCAAGATAGGCCCAACTGGCCTTCACGACGGCCCCAAGATCGTTCTTACTCCGCTCAACATCCTTCCAAAACTGTCCCAAGACCTCTCCAATATCCAAGGGAAGCCCAACACGTCCCTTCAAAATAACAAACAAGCTGCCCAAGAGAGTCTGGATACCATCCCGCAAGTAAACACTAATTTGTAGCTGTGCGAGCTGCCTCCATTGGCAGCTTTTGTGGCTTTCCTCGTGTTTGATTGTGTGTATGCTTAAGCTTCTCCCGGATCTTGCAGAAGCCTTGAGGCCGTATCAAGACAATTTGGCCGTCTTGGAGGCTTGCCAGGGGCCTGCTGGGCCCATCTTGCCATCTTGGGTCTCCGGGGCTGTCTGGGGGGTCTATGGGAGGGCCCCTTGGACCAGCTGAGAGCCCCATCTGAACTAACTCTGGCCCTCTTGGGGCCGGCATGGCGTTCCTTCGGGGGTCTGCAGCAGTTTGGGAGGATGAACGGGCCGCCGTGCGATTCTCTTGGGGACGTCCTGAACCAGTGTTGGGCCCTGGGGGCCCTTTGCGATTTCAATTGTTCCCAACCATCCTGTGGTGTTGGGTCCTCGTTTTGAAGAGACAGCGCCGCGCGTACTCACTTCTCCTCCTGCTGCCCCCCTCCCTCCCCCATCATCAGCATCTCCGTCACCATCATCATCGTCATCATCATCACCATCATCATCAGTTCGGCACTCCCCTCACACGGTTCGTGGCCCCATAGGGAGCTCCACCGAAGGCCCAAGTGGGTGCGTCCGCATCCGTCACCGCCATCCAGGACAGCGCTTCGTGGCCCCATATGGAGCTCCACCGAAGGCTCCAGTGGCAGGGTCCGCATGCGTCACCGCCACCCATTACGACACACCCCTCACACGGTTCGTGGCCCCATATGGAGCTCCACCGAAGGCCCCAGTGGGTGCGTCCGCATGTGTCACCGCCACCCAGGACAGCGCTTCGTGGCCCCATAGGGAGCTCCACCGAAGGCTCCAGTGGAGGGTCCGCATGCGTCACCGCCACCGATTTCGGCACACCCCTCGCACGGTTCGTGGCCCCATAGGGAGCTCCACCGAAGGCCCCAGTGGGTGCGTCCGCATGCGTCACCGCGACCCAGGACAGCGCTTCGTGGCCCCATATGGAGCTCCACCGAAGGCTCCAGTGGCAGGGTCCGCATGCGTCACCGCCACCCATTACCGCATGCGACACCGCCACCCAGGACAGCGCTTCGTGGCCCCACAGGGAGCTCCACCGAATGCTCCAGTGGCAGGGTCCGCATGCGTCACCGCCACCCATTACGGCACACCCCTCGCACGGTTCGTGGCCCCATAGGGAGCTCCACCGAAGGCCCCAGTGGGTGCGTCCGCATGCGTCACCGCGACCCAGGACAGCGCTTCGTGGCCCCATAGGGAGCTCCACCGAAGGCTCCAGTGGCAGGGTCCGCATGCGTCACCGCCACCGATTTCGGCGCACCCCTCGCACGCTTCGTGGCCCCATAAGGAGCTCCACCGAAAGCGGTACCCACAATTCTGCACTCGCAGCTGCATATGGTTGGGTCGGTCGTCAGGCTAGTTGTTTTGTATCAGGCCTCGTGGCCCCGAAGGCGCATTGCCGCATACGGTCGCCCTGCGGAGTGCGCGAAGCACCTCCCCACCTCAATCCACCGACCCATTTTGGCAGCGGACCCGCCATGCTTGTTATTACAGTTCGCGGCCTTGAGATCGCAGATCGTACTTCGACGGGCCCCAAGAGAGTTTAGGCCGATGCCCTGCAGAGTGCACGGATTGCCCCCCCCTACTATACTACTACACCCACCCACTCACACCAGCAAACTAACACCTGCGAAACTGGCGCGTCCGCGTCGAGGCAGCAGAGCGGGAGCCCCAGTGGGCCCCAAGGCGGGAACCAACACGCAGACTGCGCAGTCTGTGACTGTTCGGAGGCACCGCTTTGACGAGAGCCGGCACCGATCGTTGCAATTTGTCTAGCGGGCCTCTTGGAAGCCTGATGCAGGCCTTTGGATATCCATCGGGCACGAGGTGCGTGAGCAGTGTGCCGAATTGAGGCTCCATTCAGCCGTCGTGAAAGGCTAAATGAAAGTCCCTGGGGGTCCAAGAGGAACGAAGTTTGTGAGAGGTGTGTCAGATTGAAGCTCCGGTCAGTCGCTTTGAGCGCAAGCTGAAGGCCTTTCGAAGGGTCCATGGTCACGACGTGCGTGAGGGGGGTCCGGGACCGAGGCTCCCTTGAGTCGTCTTGAAGGGCCAGCTCACCGCATATGCGTGAGGGGTTCGCCGAATTGCAGCTCTGGGGAGCCGTTTTGGGGGGCCAGCTGAGCGCCTCTAGAAATCGAGGAGGCACGACGTGTTTGAGGGGCGTGCCGATTTTGAGCTATCTTGCCAATCGGGGCATGGATGCATAGGATGTCTGCGAGTCCCAGGGGCCCGGAAGCGCAGGCCCATAGTATGTATTGTAAATCGGCAGAGACACAAGTAAGCGTATATTTCCATGTCAATATTAGAACAGATAGGAACACTATTGAAGATAGGGGGATGACCAGCATCTAGAACATTAGAGGTGAGGGAGTGAGATCGAAGTGGAACGGAGAGCCCCCCACTGTGAAATCGTTTTCGGTTTGTGGTTCGTGTCGTGCGTGCGGGCGAGGCGAAGCTGCGTGGACCTCTTTGAGGAATGAACCCTCCTCTCGCTAGGGCACGGCGAGGACAAAAGTTCGTCCCCCCGGGCCGCGTGGCGGGCGGGTGCCAGGGGTGTCACGCCGTGGTGTCCCGATGGTGTCACGTGGTGTCCCGCAGTGTCTCGATTGGTGTCCCGATGGTATCCTGGTGGTATGACGATGGTGTCCCGCGGTGTCCCGCGGCGTCCCACGGTGTCGTGATGGCGATAGTGAGATCGATAGTGAGATTGAGTGGGTGAGACGTTGGCTCCTCCCCCCCGAACCTCCTTATCAACCGAAGGTTGTGCGTACAGGCAGGGAAAACATGGGGAATTCAAGAATGTGTGTCTATTCGTGTGTGCCTCCCTGGGCGCCTCGACAGTCAAACCGCATCTTAAGGATAAGCAACTTTCTAAGATTCCCCTATCCTTGCCCTTCGGTCCATGCTTGGCCGCTTTCGGTGGCCGCGCCCCGCTCGCACAGTGTCGACATGGCCTGCCAAGGGCCCTTGCATCCGAATCGTGCGTTCTGATTCTACGGGTTAGCTGCAATGATTCCTTCCTGGTTCCCTGCGGACTGCGCGATGCCATCCCGAGCTCTCCCGGAGCGCTTCTTGGGGGGCGGGGGCCGCACCGGGGCCGCGCTCGTACGGCGCGGCTCTCTGCGGGCGCGCCCGGGACGGGGCGCAGTTGGGGTCCTCGGCGGGGCCCTCTTGGAGACCTTCCGGGCTCCACACTCGGGGCCGTGTTGCGCGAGACCAGGGCCACCCTGAGGCCTCAGAGGCTCATGGGAAGGGAAAGGGCCAGAAGCGAACTGATCTGAGTCTGGCTGATCTGGGGATTTGGGGTGGTGTCCTGGACCGCCTTGGGACACCCTGGGGCCGTCGGCCCGCTTTGGGTTGTTTCGGGACCATCCTGGAGCGTGCCACCCGTTGATCCCTGCTCTTGAGCCGTCTTGGGGCCATCTTGGAGATTCCTTGGGGCACTCCTGGGACTCTCTAAGGGGTCTTCGAAGCCCCAGTGGAGCCCTTCTGGGCTCCCTTAGTGCTATACTTGTCTGATTTCCGCCTCTTGGGGGTATTCTTGCGAGGCTCCGTGGCATCTTGGAGCCATCTTCGGCAGTCTTGGGTCTTCTCGAAAGGGTGTTGGAAGCCAGAACGTTGTCTGCAAAGACCTGGTGGCCGTTCGTGATGCGTCCTGGAGGTGTCATTGGCAATTCAGGCGACCCATCGGCGGCTTTTCAGGCCGCGCCCGGGAGTTCGGGCAGCTCTGAGCGGACTTGCTGGGGGTACTTTCCCCTCCTTGGCCCCCAGGGGCCGCAACGCGCGCGCGCGAACCGGAGGATGTGCACTTACTGGAGACCTCGTTGGAAATTCCAGCAAGCCTTTGGCCAGTTGGGCTGACGAATTTCCCACGCCCCAAGGAGCAGAACATCCGCGCGTCCTTCACGGACGCCGCGGCGGACGTGGCGACCGTGGGCGACGTGTTCGCGTGGATGAATGGCTCCATGGTGCCGGCACTCTGGTCGGCAAGGAACATCGAGGCCTCCGGCTCGGACATCTCCTCGATGGGCAAGAACGTGCTCGTCGGCGGCGTCATCCTCCGCACGGCGCAGGGCCCAGAGGTCGAGTGCCAGGCGCCCTTCGAGGACTGGGAGGGCTGCTACCCCGCGTCCTCGCTGGGCGGGGTCGAGGAGCAGCGCGTGATCTCGAAGCACCCGAAGTACAACGGCTGGGAGAGCATGCAGGCGACGACTACCTACCAGACCACCCCAACCTAACCCGAAGACCAAAATTTCAAGCTGGGGTGGGTGCGGGTTACACATGTGTTTTTCAATGTTCCCTGACGCCCCCCCCCACTTGGAATGGAGGGCAGATCGGTGCCTCTGGGCTGGGTTGGGACGATTTGCTGGGTGGTGAGGAGACCTCCAGCCTCGTACGCCGCCTGCGCGGGGAGGAGGCGTACTGGCACAGGCTGGCCGACCAGAGCCTGCCCGTGGCTCAGCGTCGCCTGGAGGGCAGCTGGCTCCAGGATCTGTTCTACCGGGGGAGCGCCGACCCTGGGGAGGAGGAGGAGGGGCACCGCTTCGAGCCCGAGGAGCTGCCGCGCGTGGAGCGGAAGCACCAGCATCAGCGGGAAGTCGTCAACCGCGTGTCGGGCAAGGGCACGCCGATCCGGCGAGTGACCGGTCCATTCTCGAATTGGGCACGCCGCGGCAAGAAGAAGCGCACCACCCCTTCCAAGACAGCTCGGAGACTGAAGAGCATGGACAACAAAGAGATGAACGCGGTTGCTCCAGACTTTTCAGGCACCTTCAATGTGTACCAAAAGGTGCTTCCTGTCAGCCTGACCCAAGAGGAGGTTCAGAACAAGCTCTCCGCGTGGGCACAGGCGACTGGCGAGGGCACCCAGCTGCTCAGCAAGTCTACCCTCTTCCTCACCTGCGAGGCAATTCTGAAGAATGACGACATCGGCAACGGCTTAACCACTCAGGTCTTCGTCCATTTCGTGTTCAGCCGAGGCGGCCACATCTATAATGCGGTTGAGATGCGCAGCATGACGCAAAGGAATTCCTTGATGGCGTTGGGGGTGCTGTTTCTATGGGTTGTGCTGATGCTGGGCTTCACCTTCTACACGCCCTTCAGAGCGTTCAGCGCGTTGAAGCATGGTGCTTGCTTGGCCCATTTCCTCCGCTTCTCAAACTTCTTCGAGTGGGTCATCCTGATATGGGGCTGGGTGATTCTAGCCTCTTTGTTCCAATCGTTCGTGATGAACAGTCAGTTCTTGGATGACTACGACAAGTATTTGGAGATGCGCGATCAGGCAGACTTGCGGACACTGGTGGAGTTCGACGAGAGTTGGCTGAGGCGCTTCAGCCTGCAGGTCCGCGAGTTCGGTGGCCTGGACAATCAGCTCGTGACGGCGGTGGCCATGTACCATTTGGTGCTCATCTTTCGCTTCTTGGTGGCCTCCCGGGGCCAGCGCCGCCTTGCCCTCGTTGTCAACACCATCATTCAGGGTTTCGAGGACATCATGCACTTGACTGTTGTCCTGCTGCTGATGATCCTCGCCTACGTGTTCAGCGGGCACATCCTATTCGGCGCGCGAATGCAAGACTTTTCGACTGTATGGGGCTCCTGGGGGTACGTCTTTCAGATCGTCGGCCAGCGGGAGTACCAATGGGACGATCTCATCGCGGGCCACAACAGCATCATCGTAATGATCTGGCTCTGGTCTCTCTTCCTGGTCGTGATACTGGTGGTACTCAACCTGGTGCTTGCCATGGTCTTCGACAGCTACAACGAGGTTCGCACATCTGTGACAGACAAGGACACCATCTGGCACACTGGGCTCAGGCTCTTCTACCAGCTGCAGTCGCTGTCCACGTGGACCACGCACCAGGAGATTCGGGGCAGACTGTACAACTGGAGCAAGGAGCACAAGGAAGACAAGGTCGACATGTACAAACTGAGGGCAATCTGCCCTAAGATGCCGAGCGCACAGCTTGACCTCCTCTTCGAGGACTGCCAGAACAGGATCAAGTCCACGGTGGAACGTGGCAGGAAGAACATGCTGTCTGAGGCCATCGCCAGCATCTTGCTGGGCACAGAAGAGCTCCGCAGAGGCGTGCGAATGATGAAGGATTGGCGCCAGGGTGTCTCGTACTTCGATGGTCCTGGAGACGTGCTCGAGGGGGACGTCTCTGGAGAGCAATTCTCGGGGTCGGGCAGCCTCAAAGTGGAGCCTACCCAGTCCCCCAAGACCGCAGAGAAGGAGGTTTTGGATTCTCCGTGCGAAAGCAATGAGACTCCCGCGGATCCGAAGGCTATGCCCTCAGAAGCACCTTTTTGGGTCAGCAGTGGTCTGATGCGGCACCTGCGGGCGTCCTCCCAGCATATGGAGAACATGTACATCGACATCTCGCAGATCGAGGCCACGATAGCGAAGCTGAAGGAAGAGCATAATGTGCCAGAGCAGCCGGAGTCCGCGCCGAGCGTGGACATGTTCTTCTCCAAGCGTAAGCCCGAGGAGCCGGTGAGGCAGGTGAGGAGGGAATCGAAGGTTCTCCAACCACCACGCGCATCGAGGATTTCGAGCCGCATTTCGAGCCGCCAGTCTTCGCCGAGGAACTCTCGCGTCTCGCTCTCGTCTGCGCAGCCGCCGTTTCGGCTCGCCTGAGCGCCGCGGCGCCGCATCCGCTCGGCGAGAGCTCGCTCGCCGGCAGTGCGTCGGCGACGGGGCCCTCCGCGTCTCCTGCCGTGCGCGGGCGCCTCGCCCCCGGGGTCGTTGCGCACAAGTCGGAGGGCGCCAGCCATCACACAGGTGCGTTCGGTCCGGGGTATGAGCTCGAGGTCGGTTCGGGGAGGTACCCTGGTGTTCTTCGTGTTTGTTGGGAGCGCTTGTGCATCCTGGGGAGATGGTGGCCTTGGACGTTCTGCGCGCTTTGTCCATTGGAGGGTCGCATGTTCTTGTGAAGTATGTTCGTCTGTCCTTGGTCCAGCCGTACGCCGATCCTGGCCAGGCCCACCCTGGGCCCACTGCCTTTGTTTGGAAGAGCATCGACGGCCGAAGTTTGGGCTAGAGCTTGGCCAAGCTATCGGAACATGTGTTCCTCCAGCCGTCATTGGAACCCTTCGGGGCACACGTGAGGAAGAGGAGAATCAGGAGAATAAGCCTAATGGAGCAGGAGGAAAAGGAGGAAGAGGAGGAGGAGGCTGAGGAGGAGAAGGAGGAAGAGGAGTAGACCTCTTGGGAGCCCCTTGGGGCACTCTTGGGGTCTCCTGGGAGCTTCCTGGGAGCCTCTTGGAGCCTCTTGGGGGTATTCTTCAGCCTCTTGGGAGCCTTTGAGGGCTTGTTGGGCGCTCCTGGGACGTCTGGCGCCGTCGGGAGCCGTATTGGGGGCCTCTCTCTGGACCGTCTTGGGGCCCTCTTGGGGCGCTTGAGAGCCGTCTTGGAGGCCATCTTCGGCGTCATGGAGGCCTCTCGGGCCGTCTTGGGGCCCCCCTGCTGGCGCCTTCCGTGGCGTCGTAGAAGGAGCCCTCCAATGGGCACGATCCGTTGGAGTGGTCTGCCGAACTGGGCGTGGGACGCATGCGGGCACCCTCACTGGTGTCGTAGGTGGAGCCCCCCATGGGCACGATCCGTGTGAGGGGTGTGCGGACGTGCGCACGGGGGCGCATGCGGGCGTCCTCCTCACTGGTGCCGTAGGCGGAGCTTCCTGGGGGGCACGATTCGCGTAAGGGTATGACGAATTGGGCGTGGGGATGCATGCGGGCGCCCTCTCGGGTGCCGTCGGTCGACTTCCCTAGAGGGGCGATCCGTGCGAGGGGCTTGCTGGATTGATGGAGGAGGAGGAGGAGGAGGAGGAGGAGGAGGAGGAGAATGAGGAGGAGCTGGAGGAGGAGGAGGAGGTGGAGGAAAGAAGGACGAGGAATGGACGCGTGTCGCTGCGGATATGAAGCGAGGGCCCATCAACACAGGAAGGTTGGGAACATCGAAGCACCGACCGGCAGAGAACGATCGCGTGATGCCCCCCTGATGTTGGAGGGTGAAAGTGGGGGTCGGGCGCAGGGTCCCGGCAATGGTGTCTCTATGGGCCACGCATGGGCGATGCATCTTCGATTGTTGTGTTCGGTGAAGGAACCAATTGAAGCTCCCCGCCTGCACCCATGCGCGAGACTTGAAGGTAAACGAATCAAGGAGTCGGGGAACTGGGGAAAGGCGACGAAGGCAACGTGCGCCGAGGGCGCAAGAAGAGATGGTTGGAATACAAGCGGCGGGGTGAGTGGCAAAATCTGCCCAGCCAGTCTGACCCGCGGAACGCTGCGCCTGTGTTTGGGGGATCTTGAGGGCCAGGGCAAACTGTGAATTCACACTGTGGGGAAAAGCGAAATGTGAATTCACAGTTTGGGAAACAACGAACATGTGGGTTCATATTTTGGAGTTATTTCGGAAGGGGCCAGCATGTGAATTCACGTTTTGGGAGCAAGGGACATGTTAATTCACATGTTGGGGACATGGGGAATGTGAATTCACATGTCGGGAGAACCGCGGGACCCATTCCAAATCTGTCTCAGGGGTCGACAAGTCATCGTTCGGGAACATACGCGATCATCAATCGCACAATCAAGACACACTTGCACTCCACTTCGCTGCCCCACGCGCAATCTGCAAAAACGCCCGCACGCATGAACGATAATGGATGGACGGCGCGTTTGCCAGCGCGGGCAACGCGCGGGCACGAACGATTGGCCATCCATGGCCGCCAACATTGGCTGCCAATCGTACCCGATCACATACACGAACGATCTATTGAGCATACATCGGCCATTGCAGGCCCCTGTTGCAGACCCGTTCTTTCACCCTGCAATGATGATGTCCGATTATGTCGCGATTCTTCACAGGAGCGAGCTTACCCACAGTGACGCGGACAACCCTCACAGAGCATGGAGGAGAGTATAGCTTACGTGCGCGCTCGCGGTTCCAGTGCGTGAATATGTATATCAGCGTCGACGGTTCTATATTAACACATAGCACATATCGATGTACACATCTGCGCACACACGTATCTGAAGACCGAGGTGTAACAAAAACACGCAAATACACAAACACACAGACAGACAGACAAACAGACAGACAGACAGACAGACAGACAGACAGACAGACAGACCGACAGACAGGCAGGCAGACAGACAGACAGACAGACAGACGGACAGACGGACAGACAGACAGACAGACTGGACAGACATACCGACAGACCGACAGACCGACCGACAGGCAGACAGACAGACACAGACACACACACACATACACACACACACACACTCCTGGATAACCCAGGAGTGTGTACGCACGCCGATCCTGGGCGAGAATTCGGATGGGCCTGTCCATGTCAGGTTTAGGTGTACGGCTGGCGCCTTCCGAGCGGTGGTGGCGCGAGAGAGACCGTGGAACGTCTCGCCCGCGCGGCCCACCATTTTTTGGTGGAGGAGGGCCTCTGAAGACCCCGCCGTCTTACAATGTCATGAGTACCGCTCCCACCCGTGAGCTGCGCCGAGCGTCATACATTCAGGCCCCCACGAGAAAGCCCGTGTCCGCCCCAGAGCGAGCGTGGGTAGGGGGAGGAGGAGCAGGAGGGGAAGGAGGTGGAGGAGGAGAAGGAGGAGGAGGTGGAGGAAGAGGAGGAAGGGGAGGGGGAGGTGGAAGGGGGAGGGGGGGGAACAGGAGAAGGGGGAGGAAAAGCATGAGGAGTAGCAGGGACGGGAACTGATGAGGAGGAGAAGGAGCAGGAGGAGGAGCGGAAGGAGGATGCGCGAAAAGACGAGGAGGGAGGGGAGGAGGAACAGGAGGAGGACCACTGTGAACCCATAGGCCCCTACAAGGGTTAATTTCCACTGAGGGAACTGCCTCGTTGGAAGACGACCGGTTGAAGACCCTGACGCATGCCAAAGCATCGTTCCCGGGATTCCAGCGCCACGGATCAACCTGACTGTTGCGTATTGACGATCCTGCACCGTGCCAAAACGCCATTCTTGGGGTTTCAACACACCCAATCAACGTAAATGTTGCGCCCTCATAACCATGAGCCCTTTCAAACACAATTTCTGGCACGCTGATCATGAGCATCCGTAAAACTTTGCAAATGTTTAAAGCGAATTTGCGCTGCGCTAAGGCGAGAGCCACATTTTGAAAAGGAACCGCCCTCAATCCGTGAAGCGTTTGCAAATTTGTGCCACGAACGTGCGCGGCGCCAACGCGAAAACTACATTCGAAAAGGAGCCGCCCTCACCCCGTGAATTCTTGCAAATGTTTACAATGAATGCGCGCGGCGCCAAGGCGAAAGTTACATTTTGAAAAGGAACCGCCCTCAATCCGTGAAGCTCTGATAAATGTTTACAACGCATGTGCGCGGCGCCAAGGCGAGAGCCACATCTTGAAAAGGAACCGCCCTCAATCCGTGAAGCTCTTGCAAGTGTTTGAAACATGAATGTTCGCGGCGCCAAAGCGAGAGCCATATTTTGAAGAGGAACCGCCCTCAATCCGTGAAGTTTCTTGCACATGTTTTTTAACGAATGTGCGCGGCGATAAAGCGAGAGCCACATGCTGGAAACCACCCGCCCTCCGCCTGTGAAGCTCTTGTCAGTCTTAAGCTACAGGGTCGCAAATGGCGAGGGAGTCTCTGACGAAACGCCCGGACCGTCCTAAAAACTGGCCTCGGTGTGCGACAGGGAGAAGGGGTTCTACGCTCTTTTTTCCTCCTCCTCAAGCGTGGGCAGCGCCTTCGCTATGTGTCCGTATTGCGGATCTCTTCAGTAACAGGGGACCTTAGTCACGCTTCCTGTAGCACGGGCTCTGTAATAAGGATGCCTGTGCTATGGGATCAATCGCACGGATTTCTTGAGCACTGGATCCTTAAAATGGTTTCCCTCAGTAAAGGGTCGTTAGTACGGATGCCTTTAGTACGTATTCTTTGGGGCTCTGTGAGCACTGGCATTCAGAGGGCCGTTGTTCCCGGTTCCGTTTTACTATTGTTTGCCGGTTCCGTCGCTGTTTTTGTTGCTGGTTCCGGTTCGGGTTCCACACCTGGAGCATTTTTGGGGCATGTCGGGTTGTCTTTGTTTACTTACCGTTTCCATTTGAAGGGCAGTTTTTTTTTTCCAAACATAAAAAACAAATAAAAATAAAACATACACGGAAACATTAAAAGCGACGGCTCTGCCGTTTTCAGGGCCCACTATGCCTTGGGCTGTGTTTCTTTAGCGAGGGGTTTTTAATATTGTATCCCCACCAGCCCTCGTTCACACCGCCCTCTGGACTTTTCCTTGCGGGCCGCGAATCAAAAAAGTATCCCCACCAGCAGTTGTTCCCCCTGCAGTCGACGGCGTTCTCTTCTGAGCGGCAGCGAGGCTCGCCTCCTGTTTGTTCCTCCCTCCGCTGTCCTCTCGTTGTCTCCCCTCCCCCCTCCTGTTGCGTCTTGGACGGCGTCCGGCGTCTCCCGTTGCGTTCGCGATCAAAAAACTATCCCCATCAGCCCATCCAGAAACGATGCCCAGGCGAGTTGCCTCTCAGAGTCTCCTCGGATGTCTCTTGGAAGTTTTTGTTCGAGGCCTCTTTGGGCGTCTTGAGGGCCTCTTGACAGTCCCGAGGGCCTCTTGGCGCGTTTTGGGTGCCTCCTGGGG